CCCCAAACCTAAAATACAATAAAATAAATAAATGGGAAAAAAACAAAACAAAACAAAACAAAACAAAAAAAAAAACTGTCTCTTAGATCAAGGATACTTCCACTTATGATATAATGTTGAACTAAGAAAAAAGTTACAAGTAATTTAGAGACTGGAGTACAGCATATTTATTTCCTTTTATTTATTCTCAACAATGTCTAGTTATGCAAAGCAAATACTCATATCAAAAGCCTTACTCATTTTTTTAATAAAAGCTGAATTCTGATCTTAAGCTCTGCAAACTGTTACCTTCCCTGTATAAAAAGTAGGACCATGTTAAAATGTGTGACTTGATTGAAAAATATCAGATTATAAAATTAATACTTGCTATCAATTTAAAACCATTCTCCCCTCACTGACTCTTACACCCTCGTTTTTGCAATTAGCACTTTTCACTTAAGTCAAAATCACATGACACTTCGTCCTTACCTTTTCCAACATCAAAATCATCTCCTGGTGCTGTCCATGTAAGAACAATCTCATCCTCATGAGGTGTGGCATCAAGGTCTGTGATTTGACTTGGTAGGTATAGGTCAGGCAAGGGAAGGCTTGGGACTTGTGATACCACAAATGCACCTCCGGACGCTGTTTGGCTGAAATTCTCCAAGGTGAACTGAGTATCCTCATTATTTTCAGGTCTTGGTGGATTTGCTTCAATTTCCCCTGCATTACACATTTCCTGGTTTATGATGGGCAAAACTGCTGGTATTTTTTAGAATTCAATCACCTTCTGCACCCCACTTGTCTTTTCCTTTTTTAAAAATATATACAGTCACATTTTTACTAAGTTTTGTGACAATCATAAGCATCCAATTGGTGACAGAATTTTTGCTAGGATATTGTAGGACAGAATGAGATAATAAATTGCTTTAGAATTAAGGCTACACTGGATGAGAGTAATATTATATAATTCAATATGTGCCTTTTTAAAAAAAGGAATTGCTTTACCTCTTGAATTATCCGCTCTCTGGGAATATACCTGGAAAAATCATTACCAGTTCTCCTCCACCCACTTGTGCTAGGACCCTCCCTCCATGCTGCAAGTGCTAAGGAAAAATTCTTCTGATTGTATTCCAATTGCTAGCAGAAAGCCCCTAAAAGTGGTAAGTTACTAAATAACAAAAAACTAGCAAAGAATGAATTCTTAATTCTTACATCACTTTACTGTACATATTTTTTTCTTTTTGACTTATTAAAATTCCAAATAAATGTTTACTCTTATAGTATACATTATCTGAAGGATAAATTCTGCACTGGTTTGTGCTTATGCTCATAAATTGGCCTCTTTCCTTCATCTTGAGCTGAAAATTGGGCATATTATTGTTGATATACATAAGATGTTCCAAACTAACATAGTTTGGAACATCTTATGTATGTTTTTGAATGAGATCATGTCTTTTGCAGGAACATGGATGGAGCTGGAGGCCATTATCCTCAGCAAACTAACGCAGGAACAAAAAACCAAAATACTGCATATTCTCATTTATAAGTGGAAGCTAGATGATGAGTATTCACAGACACAAAGCAGGTAACAACAGACACTGGGGCCTACTTGAGGGTAGAGGTGGGGAAGAAGGAGAGGAGCAGAAAAAATAACTACTGGGTACTAGGTTTAGTACCTGGGCGATGAAATAATCTGTACAACAAACCCCCATGACACGAATTTACCTATACAACCAACCTGCACATGTACCCCCAAACCTAAATTGAAAGATTAAAAAATAATAACTGAACTTTTTGAGTGCTTGAGTGCTTACTAGGTGCCAGACATTGAACCAAGGCTTAGATTAATTTAGAGACAAATCGTAGTCTGACTGAGAGCTTTATTCCATCAGGAATAAAGTTTATTCCACCAGGGAAACAGACTGTTTGAAGCCTTCATTATATCAAATCACAATATTACCCAAACTATCACTGGATTATAAATATCATGAATACTCACCGTTTACTACCCAGCCTGGTATGTATGCAGCTCTATTCAGTGGATGCCGTAAGCTTAGCCTGGCAGTGTTTGTTCCTCCGTGAGCCCGTACTTTTAAGCTGTATCTGCCATTTTCTGTATATGCTGTAAAATATCTGGAGTAGACCCCATCATTCTTGAAAGAATCAGCATCTTGTTATAGAAATGAAGGACTAAAGTATTGTAAAGAGAAATGTATGCATTTTCTAAGACAAACAATTGGCCTCTATAAGCATATTCTCTAGATTAGGCTCAATATTTTGAGATTGATCCTTTGGAAAATATTTTCATTATATTCTGCCAAAACAATATATTGTTGAATTAATATCTTTGAGCTATTTTGATATCTATTCTATCTATATAACACACATACAAACATTGATATTTATGTATGCATAATAAATGCCTAAATACATCACCTTTCTGTCCTTATTCATTCATATACAGAATATTTCACATAGTACTCTTATAATTTCTCCACCACTTGTTTTCAGCTTGCTTTATCTAAACACATTAATTATGTCGTCTCTCTGTTTAAATCAAAAGGGCCTCTACTAAGGAAAAATCCTATCTTTGCGTAAGATTTAATTCTCTTAACAGTCAACTAAAATTACTAAATTTTGATATTTTTAGAGATATAAATTTCCCAGACTTCCTAGGGAAAGGTCCCAGCATTCTGTGTTCTTACAAGCCCTCAAGATGACTCCTTTGCACACTGAAGTTTGTCTGCAGACTAAAGACATTTGAACACTAAAGAACGTCTGCTGTATGGCATTGTTAATCACCAATACCATCTCAGGTTAAGGCATTCCAAATTAGCAAATTTCCCCAATTAGCTAAATGGTCATCTAGCAAAATGTTGAAAAGGGAAGTATGGTGAATTTAAGTTTTAATGTAGTATAGATTTGCAGAAAGGGGAAAAAGAGGCAAAGGGTAGTTATGGAAATATTGGTTAATCTGAAGAAGACATTGAGGTACACAGAACAACAAATTTACCTTCTCAGTTTTTCTCAGGGGCAACTCTATTTTAAGATGTGATTATAATGTGATTGAATAAGTTACATTGCGAAATATACTGATAGAAAACTCGGGTGCCTATCAATACAGTTATTTCCTTGCTCATAAACCTCTTAACAGAAGATTCTGTTCCTAGAACAATACAGAATCTAGGGAGAGGGGTTTTAGGCATCACCCATATGTACAGACCGGGGAGACAGAGTATGGTCAACACTGTATCTTGATTCCTACCAGCCAGACCTGGTATCTGATGCCTCAGTGATGAGTCCTCGTCTCCTGTGGCAGTGCCAGCTGCCCTGGGCCCCAGTCCTAATGACTATATTTATACTTTGCTCCAGTTGTTTAGAATTACTCCTGCTTTCTTTCCCTGCCAGGGACTCAAGTTCTATCACTTCATCACATCTAGTTTGCTTGTGTTTCACCCTCTCTAGCCAGTATTTCTTGATGCTATCCTAAGCCTCCTGAATAAGACCTTCCTAAGTGGTGACAGATGTTGGCTGCCTGGATGACAAACAATAATGATGACAAAAAATAACATGTATGGCTAAGCATGGTGGCTCATTCTTGTAATCCTAGCAATTTGGGAGGCTGAGGTGGGAGGCTGGCTTAAGCCCAGGAGTTTGAGAACAGCTGGGGCAATATAGTGAGATCTTTTCTCTTTTGTAGACCTTTTTTTTTTGTAGACCTTTTCTCTACAAAAAATTTAAAAAATTAGCTGAGCATGGTGGTGCACACCTGTAACCCAGCTACTTGGGATGCTGAGGTAGGAGGACTGCTTGAGCCTGGGAGGCAGAGGGTGCAGTGAGCTGAGATGGCGCTACCGAACTCCATCCAGCCTGTGTGACAGAGTGAGACCTTGTCTTAAAACACAAACAAAAAAATCACTCAAAACCCAAAAACTTTTAAATTTGTATTTACTGATTTTTTGGGTATTTTTGTTTTTGCTGAGATGGAGTCTCTCTCTGTCGCCCAGGCTGGAATGTGGTGGTATAATCTTGGCTCACTGCAATCTCCACCTCTCAGATTCAAGCAATCCTCCGGCCTCAGCCTCCCAAGCAGCTGGGATTACAAGTGTATGCCACCACACCTGGCTAATTTTTTGTATTTCTAGTAGAAATCGGTTTTAACCATGTTTTCCAGGCTAGTCTTGAACTCCTGACCTCAAGTGATCTGCCCACCTAGGCCTCTCAAACTACTAGGATTATATACCTGAACCACTGTGCCCAGCCCAAAGACACTGATTGAGTGCTTACCACATGCAAGACATTTGCTAAGTACTCTGTAGGTTTTACCTAGATCAAATTTCCTGCTGGTCCTGCGATTCCTCCTTAATCTGCATCAATTCTGTTGCCTGTCTTACTGCCCCACAATGCCACAGGGACTCATGACATGTTGAGTTAGGAAAATATTGGCTTACTCATAAAAACCTGTGAATTACCTGCACAATTATCCAAAATATATTTAGGTATCATCACAATAACTGGCAATGAACAGATAGAAAAATGGAAAGCAAGAGCGATAAATCCAAAATACTACTACTTTTTTTTTTTTGAGACGGAGTTTCGCTCTTGTTACCCAGGCTGGAGTGCAATGGCGCGATCTCGGCTCACCGCAACCTCCGCCTCCTGGGTTCAGGCAATTCTCCTGCCTCAGCCTCCTGAGTAGCTGGGATTACAGGCACGCACCACCATGCCCAGCTAATTTTTTTGTATTTTTAGTAGAGATGGGGTTTCACCATGTTGACCAGGATGGTCTCGATCTCTTGACCTCGTGATCCACCCGCCTCGGCCTCCCAAAGTGCTGGGATTACAGGCTTGAGCCACCGCGCCCGGCCAATACTACTACTTTTAAGGTGCTACTTGGAATAGAAATAAATTTTACAATGGCCATGAAAGCACTTTAAAATGATGTGATTTTGTATAAGCATTAAAAAGCAAGCATATATTTAGTATCATTAGAAGCCAGTTCAACATAATTTATATCATGTCATAAATTATATATTCTCTACTATGTTTAAGAAGGTATTAGAAATACGTAATCCATTTTCATCATATGTCTGTGTGTCTAAAATAACAGCTACCATAGTTAATGTTTATATAAAAACTTCATTGTTATGTAGATCTTTTCAGCCTGAGCTTCTGTTAATCACGTACACCCACCTGACAGCTTATGCTCTGGTCTCACGGATTTTCACCTTTCCTGCCACATGCCTTGCATTGTCACCCCAACATGATGTTTTTTGCCATTGACCTGATCATCTTTTCTTACCATTTTTTCTACCCAGAGAAATTCAACACCTTGTTCAAAGCCCGGCTCAGAATTTAGCTAGTTTCTCATGCTTCCTTTCCCTGGATGTATACAACTCTAGTAATTTAATGGCTTCCTCTGCTCACATAGAACTTTATTCTTCTATATTCCTCTGTTATGAAGGAATGTTACCTGAGTATGTTATTTCATTAAGAGTTTCTGTGTTTACTCCAAGTGCTATGAGAACAGATTGGGTCTGGTCCCCTGCTTCAGTGCCTCCAGCGCAGAAACTCAAGAGAAGTTGTTGAACTCTTAGCCTTTACATTTACACATTGATATTGAGGGCTTGGAATAAATGAACCATGTTTTACCTGTTATATTGCTCATCTCTATTACTCTTCATCAGCATCTTTTTCCAAAGCGATAAAATGAACAATGGCCCCACTTTGTTTTACTTCATCAATACAAGAACTTGCAATGTTATCCTCCCTATCAGTCAGCAGCACAATTTCAGATCCATTGAGTTGGGAGTATAGCTCTCCAATCACCTGTAAAGGTAATTCAGAGCACAGTTACCAACAGGCATTCCGAGATCAAATAGACCAATGGGAAATAAGAAAAAAATCACAGAGAAAATAAACACAAGTTATGCAGAATAGGAGATGGCCTCTATTTCAAAATAAGAATTTTCAAGCAACTTTTTTTTGGGGAAGTTAAACATTATTATTATTATTTTTTAACTATCTGCAGCAGGAAATATTCATTTAAATGAATTAGGTGGGACCAGGCTTTGGAAAATCCTGTCTAGACTAAATGATGATAACATCTCAACCTGGGAAACTCAGGTCAACCAGACATCGAAGGTATAATCACGGTATATGACATTAAATAGTGTTCTGTTTTCTTTGATTGGACTGCCCTCTGACAGATAAGCCTTCAGTTTATAAAGTCTGTTGCACTTATAGCTAGATGGCTTAAGAATCCACTTCAACATTTTCAAAGTCAGTGATTACAAATTAGTAAACCCTCACTATACTTATAAAGAAAAAATATGGAAAGTTCTAAGCATGTGGTTAGGGACCTTGTTATGCAACTTTGATTTACTTCTAATAATAATTGGCACAGAACTAAGCATATTGGTGATGCTCAAATAATGCACAAAAATTATATTTGTAGCTTGAATCCTTTTCCTAAATGCCAAACAGTTTGAAACTCAAAGTTTTGAATCTAGGTGCCTATAAAAGAGGATAAAGAGAACTTAGCGCAGGATGACAACTATATTTCATTTTCTTTGACACTTTTAATTGGTAGTGGCATCTTGGAGCACCATTTTGAGACACTGAGTCCAGGCCAAGAGGCAACAAATGACAGATTATCAGTGGCTTTCTTTGGCATGGAGTGGAGGTGTTTGTGGAAATGTGCAGAAGAGGGTTTGGAATGTAGAAATCCCTAAGAAAGCTGGATCAGGGGATAAATTGACTACCCTTATGACATTTTTGCATGTTTTGAGGCAAAGAATGACTAATACATACATTGCAATATATGGGAAATATTCTCTGACATGCATTGAAACCAAACAAAAAGATAGGAAAATACTTTTATACATTTAAGGCATTTGTAGCATCACCATTACACTTCTCCCATGCATTTAAGTACAAAAGGAACATCCAAAGATGAAGCAGAGTTCTCTCTTTCATCTTTCCTTTTCTTGCATGCATTTATTTAGCAAGCATTTACAATGTGTCAGTCACTGTGCTGGGGATTCAGTAGGAACTACATTCCTATATTAATAAATAACTGGGTTCAATTTAACAGTGTTTACGGAGCTTTGTGACAGAGACTGAGGAGATCTACAGATGAACAACAAAGACAAAACTAATATGTATTTACCACAGAATGTTCTATAGTTCAAGAGAAATAACAATGTAGTGTTAACAGTTTATTGAATACTTGCTATGTGTTAACTGTGTTTTATACATTGTATAATTTAATCCAAATCCAAGCTCCCAAAGTGTCTTCCTATTACCACTCTTACTGCCTACAATTTGTTTTATTCAGGGCAATTGGAATCATCTTCCTGGGACATAAATAGATTATCAAACTCTGACACTTTAAAGCATTCGGGAGCTTTCTGTTGTTCTTGAAACAAACTACAAGCCTCTTATTTTTGAAATTTTGAAAGATCTAGTCATTGTCTACTTCTTCGACCACATTTCATACCCCCTCATTTGCCAAACTCCAGTGCCACTAGCTTCTATCATTTCTTAAAATAATCTAGTTTTTTCTCACCTTTTTCCTATGGCACTTTTGCACTTTCCTTTCTAACTGAACCAACCACTGGCTTCTTCTCATCCTTCAAATCAGAGCTTAAATATTACTTTTTAGTGAAGGCCTCATTGGCCTCTCTGACCAAAGTAATTCTCCTTTCCCTGTTATTCTGTCACATCTCCTTGTTCGGTTTATTCACAACACTACATAATCTACAGTTCTTGTTTTTATCTATCTATTTATTATCTGTTCCCTACTTATATAAATATTCCACAAGAGTGAAAAAGCTTTGCTTGGTCAATAAATTAAAACATGTTTGTATTTTGAATAAATTAAAACACGAGCAACCCTATGTGCTAGCTTTAATTATCCTATTCTACTGATGAGGTAATTGAAGACTAGAGAGGATAAGAATCATGTTTAGGGTCAAAAAGTTAGTAAGTGGCAATTGTGATTTGAATGCAGGACTTTATGTTACAAACTTAAACTAAAATGTTATGCAATTCATGGAAGAGAGATTCAATTGGGTCAGGAGTATAAGGGAAGCTACATGAAAGAGAAAGGATTTTGAAGGATTGGTAGAATTTTAACATGCAGAGACAGGCGTTGGGGTAGGGGAAGGAAGCATTTTAAATAGAAGAATAAAACAGAGTGGGGAGAATTGAGAAATAAGGCAGTAAAGATACCTGAGGGCAATTTTACTGCATTGGGGAGACTTTTTAGTAATGTCAAACTGAGAAATTGAGACAATTTTGTAGACTGTGAAGCGACAGTGAATATTTATTTTTTTTTAATTGCATTTTAGGTTTTGGGGTACATGTGAAGAACATGCAGGGTTGTTGCATAAGTACACACATGGCAGTGTGATTTGCTGCCTTTCTCCCCATCACCTATATCTGGCATTTCTCCCCATGTTCTCTCTCCCCATCTCCCCACACCCTGCTGTCCTTCCCCTATTCCCCCCCCAACAGACCCCAGTGTGTGATGCTCCCCTCCCTTTGTCCATGTGTTCTCATTGTTCAACACCCACTTATGAGTGAGAACATGCGGTGTTTGATTTTCTGTTCTTGTGTCATTTTGCTGAGAATGATGGTTTCCAATTTCATCCATGTCCCTACAAAGGACATGAACTCATTGTTTTTTATGGCTGCATAGTATTACATGGTGTATATGTGCCACATTTTTCCCTGTCCAGTCTATCATCGATAGGCATTTGGGTTGGTTCCAGGTCTTTGGTATTGTAAACAGTGCCACAATGAACATTTGTGTGCATGTGTCCTTATAGTAGAACGATTTATAATCCTTTGGATATATACCCAGTAATGGGATTGCTGGCTCAAATGGAATTTCTATTTCTAGGTCCTTGCCACACTGTCTTCCACAATGGTTGAACTAATTTACACTCCCACCAACAGTGTAAAAGTGTTCCTATTTTTCCACATCCTCTCCAGCGTCTGTTGTCTCCCGATTTTTTAATGATCGCCATTCTAACTGGTGTGAGATAGTATCTCAATGTAGTTTTGATCTGCATTTCTCTAATAACCAGTGATGATGAGCATTTTTTCATATGTTTGTTGTCCTCTTGTATGTCTTCTTTTGTAAAGTGTCTGTTCATATCCTTCGCCCACTTTTGAATGGGCTTGTTTTTTTCTTGTAAATCTGTTTTAGATCTTTGTAGATTCTGGATATTAGACCTTTGTCAGATGGGTAGATTGCAAAAATTTTTTCCCATTCTGTTGGTTGCCGATTCACTCTAATGACTGTTTCTTTCGCTGTGTAGAAACTGTGGAGTTTAATTAGGTCCCATTTGTCTATTTTGGCTTTTACTGCCAATGCTTTTGGTGTTTTGGTCATGAGGTCCTTGCCTATGCCTATGTCCTGAATAGTTTTGCCTAGGTTTTTTTCTAGGGTTTTTATGGTGTTAGGTCTTATGTTTAAGTCTTTAATCCATCTGGAGTTGATTTTAGTGTAAGGTGTCAGGAAGGGGTCCAGTTTCTGCTTTCTGCACATGGCTAGCCAGTTTTCCCATCACCATTTATTAAACATGGAGCCCTTTCCCCATTGCTTGTTTTTGCCAGGTTTGTCAAAGATCAGATGGTTGTAGATGTGTAGTGCTTCTTCTGGGGCTTCTGTTGTGTTCCATTGGTTTGTGTCCCTGTTTTGGTACCAGTACCATGCTGTTTTGATTCCTGTAGCCTTGTAGTATAGTTTGAAGTCCAGTAGTGTGATGCCTCCGGATTTGTTCTTTTTTGCTTAGAATTGACTTGGCTATGTGGGCTCTCTTTTGGTTCCATATGAAGTTTAAGGTGATTTTTTCCAGTTCTGTGATGAAGGTCATTGGTAGCTTGATGGGGATAGCATTGAATCTGTAAATTACTTTGGGCAGTATGGCCATTTTCACGATATTGATTCTTCCTAACCATGAATGTGGAATGTTTCTCCATCTGTTTGTGTCCTCTCTTACTTCGTTGAGCAGTGGTTTGTAGTTCTCCTTGAAGAGGTCCTTTATGTTCCTTGTTAGTTGTATTCCTAGGTATTTTATTCTCTTTATAGCAATCGTTAATGGCAGTTTGATCGGTGTGATTTCCCATGCAGTGACCCACTGCGCCAGCTGACACAGCTGCGCTGAGATTCGTGGTGCTTTTTTGCCTGGGAATCTCCTGGCCTGAGTCCCTGTTTTAGTCTCCTTTTCTATGAGTTGAATGGCCACTCTGTCTCCTAGGAGCTCCAATCACCAGCTAAAACAGTGCCCGAACCCGTCTATTTTGTGCGGAGAACCGCCGCGCCTAAACAGCCGCGCTGGCCAAAATAGGTGCGCCGGCCAAGACAGCCGCGCTGGCAACCTGTGGGGCTCCTCCACCTGGGAATCTCCTGGTCTGTGGGCAATAAAAATCCATCTGGAAATGTGGCATCCACTCACCCTCCGCACTTTCGCTGGGAGCTGCAATCCTGAGCTACTCCTAATTGGCCATCTTGAATCTGTCCCTTTAGACAGTGAAGATTTCTTAATAGTAAAATGACATAATTATTTGTGGGCTCAAGATGACTATTTGGCTAAAAATAATGTTCATGATAATTATACATATATTTATTATAAATAATTATATACTTATGATAAATTATTATACATTACATATATTTGAACTATATATTTACTATATAATATAGTAAATATTGTTCTAAGTATGTAAATGTATCATTTCACATAATCCTTATAATTATTCTATGAGGTAGGCATTCCTATTTCTTATACTGTATAGAAAAGGCACTGAGAGTCCAAAGAGACTGAAATGTTAGCCTAAGATTACACAGTTAGTAAGTAGCACATCCAGTACTCTGATGTCAAAGTTTATGTTCTAACTCATATGTCTTACCCTAAATATGACTCACAGTCCTGCTACATCTGCTTTAGGAGGTACAATAGTTTGCCCTAGCGGAATGTTACAGAAGCTCAAATGAGAACTAGCTTAAAGTGGAATCATACTATGTCATCTGTGTCACTGCCCCAAAATTGATGGCTTTTGCATCTAAGCACACTTATTTAACTAACATTTTTCAAGCACTGACTACTGCATGGTAACAAGACAGCAAAGTCCCTGACTTCCTTGGCTTATAAGTGAGTGGCAAATTTATAGTTGCTTATTCACCCATGGGTTGTTCATTGATTGACTGATCCATTAAAACATCAAGAGAATTTTTTTCTATATACTTAGTCCTGTGCTTCTTAGGATTACTTATGTTAAAATTAGGCAGCAAGCATGTGCAGCAGCACTTAACATGACAATCTCCTGAAAAGAAACAAAAAACAAAATATATTTGCAGTAAGATTTTCACCAGAAATGCAGATTTAATTCCAGAGCAGATGGAATTTCCTCCCTGAGCATATGTAGGTAACTTTTCCAGAGTGTATTTCTTTCATGGCTGCTTATTATTTGGATTAGCTTATTTATAATAGTGGTAGTACTATCAAAGTGAACCATCCCCACCCAGGATCCATTTTCAACAGTCTGCAGCAGGAATTGTATTGCTGCTTGATTCATTCGATTCAGGCGGTTATAGCTCTAGATCAAAAAGACAAGAAAAACAAACAAGTGATTTTTGACTGGAAAATAATAGAAGATCACATAAAATGAATGAACAGAATTCATTGATAAGATTTTCTGTGCCGGGCGCGGTGGCTCAAGCCTGTAATCCCAGCACTTTGGGAGGCCGAGGCGGGTGGATCACAAGGTCAAGAGATCGAGACCATCCTGGTCAACATGGTGAAACCCCGTCTCTACTAAAAATACAAAAAATCAGCTGGGCATGGTAGCGCATGCCTGTAGTCCCAGCTACTCAGGAGGCTGAGGCAGGAGAATTGCCTGAACCCAGGAGGCGGAGGTTGCGGTGAGCCGAGATCGCGCTATTGCACTCCAGCCTGGGTAACAAGAGTGAAACTCCGTCTCAAAAAAAAAAAAAAAAAAAAAAAAAAAAAAAAAAAAAAAAAAAAAAAAAAAAAAAAAAAAAAAAAAAAAAAAAAAAAAAAAAAAAAAGATTTTCTGTGAATAGTAGTCAATGTTGTTAACGAATTGACAAAATTAAAAAAAGGTGGTGTGTATTATTGGACACATTTGCATAGTAAGGAGCACAGGCTTTTATTTATAGCTGATGTACCCAAGTTAGAAGTGGAAGCTAGGGTGGGGATTGAGTTGAAATTGGGATGAGGATACACATTTTAGAGACTCTCTAATTACTCCTGGGAGCTTCTGTGCCTTTTGTCTTCAGATAAAACCATACTCCCAAGCCTATAAATCAAACCAGACGATTGTAAACTCCAACCAGAGACTGGAATCACTCCATCCACTGGAAAGTACACTGCTCAAAAGGTAAAACTTAACCCAAGCTTCGCTTTAAATTGAGAGAGGCCAAGCCCCTATCTTCCCACTTTCTCTTTCTGTTCCTAACCTCTCGCTGCCTGCTTTCCACCAATGGGTTTATTGGAATTGGCTCTTTGATAACCCTCAGGACCCAGCCCTCTTTCAAAGGTGATTGTCTAGGGTGTAAGCTTCTTCACATGTTTGTCTTCTCTAGTCCTTATCACCATATTGATCTGTTACTCCTCACCAACTTATGCCTACATTTCCTTCTGAACTCCCTGAACCAAACGACAATGAAAATCTTCTATATCTTCATTTTACATGCTCCCTCCACTACCTGCATTATAGTGGCTCGATTCCTTCAGCTTTCTCATTCTCTGCCCTTTTTAATACTTCCCCCCATTTGCTGAAGACCTTATTGCTGTTCTTCAGCATGCATTGTTATGCCTTAAATGTGCCATTTTTCTGGTTTCTTATCACATTGCATTTACTTGTTTGCCATCTATTCATTTCAACAATTATTTATTGATCACCCATATGTGATTAACTTTATTCTAGGCAACGGGGATAAAAAAAATGAATAAAACATGGTTCCAAGTCTTAGAAGATCTCCTAGGCTAGTGGAAGAGAAATGTGTAACATAAATATAATATACAGTAATAGAGGTATGTGCAGGGCATTGTTGGGAATCAATAGAAGGGCTTTAGCCAGTCTAGAAGCCCCGTCCATTTTCTGGAGGAAATCAAGGAGGAAGTGACCTTTGGATTAGGTATTTTTGATTATATTGGCATCTTTCTTTTACTATGATATTTTGCTGCAATATCTTGAAGTCATGATCGCAGGCAATGATGGTACTTTATGCCACCTTGCAATTTAGAACAATCTAGGTGCAGATAGAGTTTAGTGTGTTCTCAGATCTTCAAATATCCCACATCCCCATATCCAGAAAAAATGAACCTACCGCCATGCTTACAGACTTATGAAGAAGTAAGCACACAATTCTTTGATCGTCAGCAATGAGAAGACAGGTGGAGAAGGTGGTGTCACCATGAGTGTTGTGTTTTTAAAACCCTCAGAATTGCTGATCACCTCCCATGTACTCCTAAAATTGCACTTTATGTTTTGTAGGCTTGGAGCTTCTTGATTATGGTTTTTTTCATTATAGAATTCAACAACCTAAAAGGTTAATAAAATGAAAAAATAATTTAAATACACCATGCATTTGAAATCAAACTACAAATCTGAAAAATTTTTAAATGTGTTGTGCAGATATATTGTTTGTTGAATGAAATATGATGTGCTGAGCATCAATATTACAACAAGGCAGATTTACCATAATAAGAATACTGATAACTGTAATAATAAGATAAACACTAGATAACACTAGTTCAGCACTTACTATGTGTTAGCCAATGGTCAAAGAACTCTATTTCAATATATGTAATCCTTAGGTCACCTGAACATTTACTTTAAAAACATGACAATATGTCATTTGATTATAAATTCTGGAAGCAATTATCAGCATACTTACAGAATCAATACTTTGCATAAACATTATGGATGCTTCTTCTGTTTGCACTTTATCAGGAAAGAATTGACAATCTTTTTCATATAGTTTTTTTGTAGAATCAACTCTGCACGTTCTAATAAGACAGCTGCCTCCTTGACACTTATAAACTCTATTTATACCAGAGATGCCTGTGGAACACCTGAAAATATATGACAGTTAATCTTTGAGGCAACTTAATCATTAACGCTAATAGAAATCCTAAGTGGTTCTATTAATTATGACCTTTATATCAAGATGTTTATTCTTCTGTGTGCACCATGTACTTTCTATCCTGGCAGTAGAGTGTAAGGGCTCCAATCAAAGTAATTATCTATTTTTTTTAAGAATTCTAGAGGGAAAATTTAAGTGAGGCCTCCAGAGAAACACAATGGTCAAGTTCTCCGCTGGTATTAAAGCCGCCGGTCTCTTGCTTAGACATCTCTCCTGCTGGTCTTTTGGTGGCAAATATGCTGTAGGGACCTGAAAAAGAGACCTTGTGAGATCATTTACTCTGAGTACCACTTTAGTTTGAAGTTCTTTGTAGACTTCTTCCCAAAGATACTCCCAAAAGAATGGTACATGGCATAGACACAAGTATTTTGATTGTTTAAGGAACATTTTTATCCAAAGTGAAATGTGATTGGAAGCGAAGATTAGGTGCTGCCAAGAAAGATGGTGGAAGAAAAAGTGATGTAGACAGTTTAGACATATGTTTTATATATGTAACTGGCCACAGGTAGCAACGATTGCAACAAATATGCTGGAATGTGAACATAGTTTGTCTTTTCAATAGGTTTTCAGTTCAAATTCAGGAAATGATGAATAGTTTTTCTTCAGTTATTTAGGGAGTTTCAAATATGTCCATGCTTCTACTGCCCCCAAACTAGGTGGACATGATGAAGCTATCTATGTGGAAAATCGTGATGAATATTCTGCAGCAGTAGTTAGACATCTAAGGGGAATATGATATAAACAAATGGAATAAATGTAATAGTCTCTAAAATATGTGCCTGAAAATTGGTGCAATGGGGCAGAGGAAGGACCTTGATTTAAATCATATACCTTTCAATTCACACATTAACGTCAAGTCTTCAGCCCCAGCAGGACATCTAACATTGATGAGGTAATAGCACTAATTTTAATTTTGAACCAATTCTTCCCAACCATTTTGCTCTTTTGACCACATAATCAAAAGGAGAGTCTATTATTAACTATGATGCTAGATGGTATTATTAAATAACATTTATAATCTCCAAGAAGTTCTGGCTTGGCTCCTTGAAGCTATTTGATTTCTTACTCAGTCCACATTTAGCATTACTTAACCATGTTTTGTAATGTAAACAACTCTGATCTTATCCCAGCATATTGTGAATCCATTTACATAGTGCCCAAGATCAGTGCAAGTGAGTTCTGGAAGGTATGGTAGAGAGGTATAAAATAAGTTGAATTGCCAACCAAATGCTTGCCATTGAAATTATGTATGTTTTTTTTTTTCCTTTTTTCTTTTTGAGATGGAATCTTGCTCTCTGCGAGCCAAGGCGCCTTGCTTTGGAAGCTCAATTATGTTATGTTTTAAATAGCAATCAACTACTTTAAGATACACTTTCTAAAAAAAAAGGAAGCATCATTTTGTGATATATTGTCTGCATTAAGACTGATTTTGGAAGAAATCAAAGTAAGGAAAATAAGAGCAAATAAAAGCCTGAAGTCAGTTTAGAAAATTTAAATAGCCATGCCTTGTTGCTTCAATTTTTTTTGGCTTAGCGCTGTAGAAAGGCTGATCTTCATTGTATTCATCAAATACTCCCCACCGGAGGTGAGCCCACTCATGGACAAACAGTCTGCCTGTGGGAAAGTATTTCAAATACAAGATCATAATTCCAGCGACACATTTTGTAACAAAATATTTTAAGAAGCTTCTCTTTCAATTGTAAAATACATTTAGATTTAGATTTTCAACAACTACCAACATTTATATTTTGGTGTATAAAAAGCCTATTACATTAAATTACATTATATTATGCTATATTACGTAATATATTATCTTCTTATTCCACAACATGTTAAATCAATGAAACAATAAGGGAGCATATGCTATAAGCAGAGCAGACTGGGATTTGTGTTTTGGTTCTTGGGGCTAAAAAGTCTTAGATAGTACAACGGTTTATGGCTCTCCATATTATAACCAATATAATTAGATACACGGTACATCTGTTGTACTAAAATACCATTAGATGCGATTAGAAAAAAAATGTCTAAAACTGCTCTCTATTATGATTAAAAAAAAAAAAAAAAAGACAGGAAACACTGTTATGGGCCAAATACAATTTCGGGGATGTTAAAATGAAGGACTTCATTTATGGTACTTAGCACATGTAAGCATTAATTATGTGAAAGAATTTTAAATAATTTTCTATATATTCAATGCAATACTAGGTATTAAGAAATATAAAGATGTGTAAGATTTAGTCCTTCACTTCAGGAAATTTTGAGAGAGGGAGTTCAAATAAAATGATATTTAAAAAAAAATTTATTGCACTTTAGGTTCTGGGGTATGTGTGCAGATCATGCAGGATTGTTGCATAGGTACATACATGGCAACGTGGTTTGCTGCCTCCATCCTCCCGTCACCTACATCTGGCATTTCTCCCCATGTTATCCCTTAGAAAATAGCTGGTGTTCATGAAATTCATAGTACAACTTCAATAATCAGTTTACAGGAAATTTTAGAAAATTAAAATGAACTCCCTCCCTCCCTAAATAACGTGATTTGAAAAATTCTTTTTAGAAAGTATATGCTTTTATTTTAATGATGGTGAGCAAAGTTTTGCTTCAGTAAGAATTCTAAATTAAAAACACATCTCTTATTCCTTTATCCACTTGAAAGATTTATCAAATTAAGAGTTGTTCAAAAAATGGCTATTTACCACAAAGAATATTTAGTGACAAATTTGAGACTATTATTATGAAGTCTTTGAGGGCAGAAACAGGGACTTATTCAGCTTTGTATCTTTCAATGCCAAGCACCTAGGAGGTGCTTAATTTAAATATAGGTTCAACAGTTTGTTATTTTACTGATATTAGTTAACTTCAAGGTCAGCAAATATAATGTTAGAAAATACTGATAAAGATACCATTATTTAATATGCTTATTGTGGCCCTTCAAAGACTAAACTTTGCATATGGGTAGTAATTTGCCTGGTTAAAATGACATAAAAGTTAGGATTAACCATGGTAGATGTCGAGAGAGGGGAGTAAGAAACAGATTTGATGCCTTAGCACATATACTTATTAAAGATGTGAAAGTCAAAGTAACAGAATTTTAGAGTTCCAAGAAATAGAATAGTTCATTAGAAGAAAGGTGCCACATAATCACTCAGAATTGAAAATAATTCAGGATTTCACAACAAGCTTTTGTGGTCTAAGAAGCCTTTTCAGCTGAGATGGAGTTAAAGCTATTTCTTTAAAAAAATTCTTTATTTTACTTTTAATTTTTTTTACTTTTCCCATTTTGCAGATGAATAAAGTTGTATCTTAAGGAAAGGAAAGAACAGGCAGACAGGACGCTCCAGGAGTTTTTAACTATATGAACAAAAGCCTAAAATAAGTACAAGATATTTTGGAAATTAAAAAATAATTTGAAAAACAGTGTTTATACAAGTGAGATAAAGGACCAGATTGTAAGGGAGTATGTCAGGCTGAACTAAGAAGTTTGGATTGAAAAGATGGATTCTAAGAATAAATGGCTTTTAAAACGCTATTTAAATAACAAATAAGCAAGGGTAAATTACCTGATACTTTTGTATTTTACCATCTTGAGGAACTTAAAAACAAGCAACCAAATGGACTAGTTAAGAATAAATATTCGTACTCATTTATACATTCTACTTTAACATTCTTTTGAAAGTACCAAGGCTTGTAAACACATTTTAAAAGAAGGGAAGTGGAGTGGTGATGGGACTCATCTGTGTGCTTTACTAGTTTGATCTGACCTTTTTTAAAACAAGAAACATGTTTAAATTCTAACTTAGAAACTTTTATGTAAGATGAAAAACAATGGAAAAGAAGACAAATGGCCAACCAAAGAATGGTATATTCTTTAAAGTACAATTTGATTTGAATGAAAATTATTATTTATAAATGTGAATAAATAGATACTGGCATAGCTCTTAAGCTATTCTTAGCATGAAACTTGGTACTTTGGCATTATACAGATGTCAACGCAATTAAATGTAGGAACTCAGTAACAAAATAAATACTGAGATGAGAAAGCAGTGTTTTGCTGAAAATTACCACACAGCATTCCAAATTTCACATGTTCTATTTTAAAAGCATTCTGTTTTTTTCTTACAAATTTTATCTTTAAAAAGTATTGTGGAAAATGTCAAACATATACAAAAGTATGATAGTATAATGAAACCTCCTGAACCCATAACCAGCCTTCCTCAACTATCAACATTCTGTTAATGTTGTTTCAGTGACTTCTTTTTTTTTATCTTCTGAAATATTTAAAAGCAAATCTCAGTGGGGTGTGGTGACTTACAGCTGTAATCCTAGCACTTTGGGAGGCCAAGGCAGGTAGATAACAACCGGAGGTCAGAAGTTAAAGACCAGTCTGACCAACATGGTGAAACCTCATCTTTAATAAAAAATACAAAACTAGCCGGGCATGGTGGTGCATGACTGTAATTCCAGACACTTGGGAGGCGGAGGCAGGAGATTCACTTGAACCGGGGAGGTAGAGGTTGCAGTGAGCTGAGATGGAGCCATTGCACTCCAGCCTGGGCAACAAGAGCAAAACTACGTCTCAGACACACACACATGCGCTCGTGCGCGCACACACACACCCACCCACCCCCCAAATCTCAGATATGGTATAAGTTTATCGATAAACATTTCAGTATGTATCTCTAACAATTACACACACTATAAAGAGACACATTAAAGGAGCTGTTTCTCCTAAAATTTTCCCTCAGTAAGTGGCTCAAGCCAAAACCTTGGAGTCATCCTTGACTCATCTTTCTCTCATACCCTAGGGCCAGTCCGACAGCCAATACTGGATAATTTTGAACCTTCCCTGCTACCACTGTAATCTAAGTCATAATCGCCTTTTACCTGTACTATGTCCATTAGAAAGACTTGCCCTGACCATCCTATCTATATAACATGATAACAACCACCGTCCCTGTCTTTATTCTATGCTTCTGGCCATGTTTTTTAATTTTTTATCATCACCTGATATATTTACAAACTTAACTTCTGCTACAATGTAAGCTCCAGGAGGCAGACACTTTGTTGATTTTATTCATTGCTGTATCACCAGTGTCCACAGTAGTCATAAGTAAACATGCAATAGGCACTTAAATATTTAAGACTGAAAATTATTTGATAGCTAACAGATTAGCATAAATTTTAAAACTTTTTTCTAAAGAATTTGAAACAAATAATTAAAATTCTGTGGGAAGTGCACCTTTTGAGAACTTTGCCAGATTTAATTTTTTAAATCGAGTCTATCCACAATTTAAATCAGACTAAATTCTAGTACATGTGTTCTCTTTAAGGAGTGTGAGTTCTATGTCAAATAGTGGCATTATATAGTGTCAAATCTTCATTAAGCATCTACAATTATATAGGTAATGAGCACTAGAACAAACAAAAATATCCAAGGCTCTAGTCCTCTACTGCAGTCAACCTTAAAAGCATAGAAATGTCTCACACATCAAAATTCATTTCAGACCCTCAATCGCTCGTTCTTCTCGCACCTTGTCTTTCACTATTAGAAGCCGGTGGATTTAAATCAAAACACCATTTTAACTATAAAGGTTCAATGTCTTTACAACATATCATATTTAGGGAAGGAAGGGAAGAAAAGGGTTAAGGCAGCTACTTTATTACTCACCATGCAGATTTTAGAACTCAGAAATCAAAAGCTAGAAGGAATTTCCCATCTCTAAAGTGTTACTTGCTGTCGATACGGAAATGATCAGATTGTACCAGATGATTTTTAAGGTCTCTCTAGGCCATAACATTCTATTATTCTAGCTATCTTAAATCTGGAATGCTTATCCAGGAAGAAAAGCAGCTTGGAGTACAAGGTCAGACAGCACCTGGTTATTTACTAGCTGTGCAAGTTTCATAACCTCTGTAAGACAGCTTCCTCATATGCATAAAAAGGGTTAGTAACATCTATCTGGCAAAGTTATGGAAACGACTGGAGATGATATGTCAAATGCATTGCAAAGTGCTTGACAGGTTTTTCATAATATAAGCAGCTATTACCTTGCTCTAGCTCTACCATTTTTTGCCAAGGATAGTACAATGTAGTATCAACTGTGCCAACAAAATTGGGGCAAAGACAAGGAAAGTCGTAAAGCAACAGTACAGATTTACATTTCAGCGCCAATTTGGTATGCATATTAGAATATTATTTTTGTTTTCTTTTTACAAAAGAGAATGTTGTTGCTACCGTGACTATGCCATTAACTTAAACGCCAGATTGTTTATAAGTCATGTTGTGAAATTTACATCTGTTCACAGATTTCCTGAGTTGGCATAATATGGGTGATGACTGCTGGAAATGGTCCAAGTTCCTTAGTACCGACTCTTCCTTGATTGCAGAATATCGACAGGTAGTCAACTTTGCCCCTTAAAGCATATGTGAAACATGCTACTGTGACTTACAGTCCTAACAGCATGAATCTCCCCGCATCTCTCCTTGATCTAAAGCCGGTGCTTCCCATTTTGAAAATGAGTGAGAATCCCCCAACCCTAGCTTTCCCGTGGCCTTGGCAAAGTCTGAACGCCAACTGGCGATCCTCATTCCCCCCGCGGGCTGCCAAGCCTAGGACAGTCCTTTCAGGGAGAAAAAGGGCTGGAGGGAACTGTGCTGGCAGCTCTCTGGGTCGAGGGGCAGGAAAAGGAAACTCCCTTCTTGGACTCGGAGGGGAGGGTGAGAGACGAAAGGAAAGGGTGGGGGTAGTGCAGGAATGGCCTGTGTCTCAGTTACCCCAACCGACTCGGGAGCCTCCGCCAGCCCTGGGGTGGAGGCCACACGAGCACTGGCGTCGTGAGATCAGAAAGGCGGACAGTGCAGCCCCAGTGTCCTCCAGGGATCGGAGGAAGCTCCCAGCTCCGTCCCCACCCCGCGTCGCTTCCCGGGGAGCGGCGGTTGGGCAGGAGCCGGGCAGAAAACCGCCGCCAGGCCCGGGGGGCACCAGGCCCGGGGGGCACCAGGCCCGGGGGGCACCAGGCCGCGCGCATCTCCCAGGCCTCTGGCCTCAGCAGGCCCGCTGAGTGGTCGGCGAGGCCCAGGAGCGCCGCGTCGGGCTGAGGTCTCCTCCCTCAGCCTCCTCGGGCGCCGCCGCCCCTTCTCCCCCCAGCACCTGGGTACCTGCACGGCGCGACTGAGGAAGGTGCCCGCGTCGGCCGCTAGCTTCTTCACGTTGAAGTCCATGATGTTCATCCTGGGCGGCAGCCGGGCGGAGCCGGCTGACCTAGCCGCGAGGCGGAGGCGCCGCGGCCGGGCTGGGGCTCAGGGCTAGAGCGGCGAGGGCAGACGTGGTAGGCGGAGGGAGGCGGCGCCAGCCCAGCCGCCGCAGCTGTGGTTTCCGTGAGGGGGGAGGAGGAAGGCGGGGCAAGGGAGAAGAACTAGCGCCCGCGGTGGCGGCCTAAAGGCTGGGTCTGTCGACCGGCAGTGCGGCGGCTAACGTCTGCCTCGGGCCCCGCGGGGGAGCCGGAGATGGACTGGCGACCCCGAGATGGGCGGGCGACCCCACTGAGTGGAGCCGACTCTCAACGGGGAAATCGAGAGCAGGCCGCGGGGCGGAGCCTTTCTCGAGATCATCGCGGGAACAGCGACCCCTTGAGGATTGCGGCGGCGCGGCCCCGGGGCGCGCCGGGAGCTCCGCCCGCCTTCTGTGGAGGGAGCGGCCAGGGGGAGCCGCAGGGTCTCGGCCCCGCTGTAAGGTTGCACTTAACCTCTGAGAACCCAGAGCAAACAGGACCCCTATTTCCGTTTTTAAGAGTAAATTTGGGAGTTACAGCACGGAATTACAATATGTGTGACATTAGAACCCACAGGCCCCGGTCACAGTAAGGCACCGCGCGACGCACTGGTCCGCGAGGCCTGGATGCCGGTCAGCGAACGTTTGAGGAATAGGGTTGGATTTCCTGTCCCCCACCGAGCTGGTTGCTCATTCATTCAGCGTAATTGAATACCTACTGTGTGCCAGGCACTGAATCAAGTGTCGGAGCTAGTACGCTGAATAAGACAATGTCCTGCCCTCAAGCTCCGGGCCGGTTACTTGACAACCTTCGGGGACCTTAACACTACGTGCCTACTGTGTGAAAGCAAAGTGCCATGTGGAGGACGCAAAGACCGCGAGCGACACAGGACAGCCCTTAACAATTCAGCGAGACTAATTTTAATAACAAATGAGGTATGATGTGACATGCGTTCCAAATCCTTCCATTCTAAGTAACTTCTTCAGCAGCCTTCGCGATACAGCCTCTGCTCGGAAGGAATTAAAACAGGTACAAGCATGGAAGGAGATATTACTATCACATTTTAAGAATAAGAAAATGCTCTCTGTATGTTTTGTGTGATTGGGCAGCAGGCAATGAAATGAGCTCACATTCAGGCTTCCGTGTTTTACTGAAACAGCAGTCACAGATCCAATAGATGGTAAAGGTTGAAAGACGAGTGCAGTAAAAGCATTTAAAGACAAGAAGAAAACATGTTAATATTTGTGTTGTTTCATTCTTTGTTGTGGTGACAGAAACAGCCCTCTCTTTCTAAGGTAACTCCAATATAATGGACTCTCCCAGCTTTGAAATACTCCATGTCTCTTTCATTTTATAGAAATAAGGAAAAATATATATATATATATAATCAAAAATCCTATATCTTATTTATGGTCTATTTTAGATTTTTATGTGGGAAAGCACTTACCCTCTCTCCAGAGTGCTGTTTTTAAAGTAGGTGTATTTGCCATAACCTATGCTCATCTCTGCAACAGGATCACACCACCGTGTCCAACATTAAAGGCGAAATTCTTCAATGGTGGACACGGTGGTATCCCTGAATCCTCATCGGCAAATGTTTGGATGTTCCCAGTCTTGGGAAAACAACAATGTTATTTTTTCCTTTTGCACCCTCTATGGTTGTAATCATATTTGCCATTCTCCACAAAACACTCACCATATTTTCATATAGCCTTATTCTTAGCCTTTGATACTTTTTTTTTTGAGACGGAGTTTCGCTGTGTTGCCTAGGCTGGAGTGCAGTGGTGCAATCTTGGCTCACTGCAACTTCTGCCTCTCGGGTTCAAGTATTCTCCTGCCTCAGCCTCCCAAGTAGGTGGGGATTACAAGCATGTACCACCATGCCTCGCTAATTTTTTGTTAGAGATAGGGTTTCACCATGTGGGCCAGGCTGGTCTGGAATTCTTGGCCTCAAGTGATCCACCTGCCTCAACCTCCCAAAGTGCTGGGATTACAGGCGGGAGCCACCGCGCTCAGCCGTTAGGTTTTCTTTACAGGGAAAATATAAATCATCACTCTGTTTGGCAGAAGCCTCTTCAACCAAATTCCCTTATTTCCACCTTCTGTTCTCTCCACACTCTTTCCTCCATCATTGCTAAATGTTTCAAAGGAATAGGTGTCTCAGGTGTTCTGAGTAGAGCCACTGCTCCCTTAATCTTGGCTGCACATTGGCATCACCTGGAGAGT